TGGGGAAGCAAGGGCCTTGTTATCACTGTGGAGTCACAAGTGAGTTCTTGTTTTCTCCAATTTTGGATTTGAATTTTGAGCTGATGATTGTATTGTAAACTTCGATTGATAATGCAAAACATGAACAATAATTTGAGCATTTGATTATCATTTTGGTTTGTGTCTGTGTTTATGACCTTAAGACACATGTTGTAGGTCCTTTGCTTGTCTTGATCACTCTTATTGAGCTTTGAATGTTATTAAATGTGTAGTGAAGTCAATGGTTTTTGGCAATTTGGGATCTTAGTTTGTGTCTAAAATGCTCAATTATGTTTGAATCAGAACCTTAAATTTTAGCTCTGATTTGATATTGAGACTTGCGGGATGTTTGATCTTGAGAGATCATTGGCAGATTGTGACATTTTTCTTGTTGTTGCAATTGAGTAGTTTAACCAATTGGGAAAATGTTGCAAACAGGTACACCTCTATGGCGAAACGGGCCACCAGAGAAGCCGGTATTGTGCAATGCTTGTGGTTCGAGATGGAGAACGAAGGGAACATTAGTGAACTACACGCCGCTTCATTCTCGTGCTGAAGGTGATGAGATTGACATTGAGGATCATAGAGCTCAGAGGATGATGGTTAAGGGAATATCTGTGAACAAGAAGATTCCTCCTAAGAGGAAATCATATGAAGAGAATTTCACAGTTAAAAGAGCTAACTTGGAATTCAGCAACGGTTTCAAGAAGAAGGCTCTAGACGAAGAAGCTAGCAATAGATCGAGTTCAGGATCAGTTGTATCGAACTCAGAGAGCTGCGCACAGTCTAATGCGTGGGAGACGAATTTTTCTTGTAGGAAGAGGACATGTGTGGGGCGTCCAAAGGCGGCTTCTTCTGTTGAGAAGCTCACAAAGGATCTCTATACTATTCTACAAGAACAACAATCTTCTTGTCTCTCTGGTTCATCAGAGGAAGATTTGCTTTTCGAGAATGAAACACCAATGTTGATAGGACATGGGAGTGTTCTTATGAGGGATCCTCACTCGGGTGGTCGAGAAGAGGAATCTGAAGCTAGCTCACTTTTGGTTGAGAGCAGCAAGTCCTCATCGATACATTCTGTTAAATTTGCGGAGAATAGAGGCGAAAGATCTCAAAACTTTGGTGGAAAACCAATAAAGCAGGAGCAACTCAAGAGGTAAATAACTTGTGTAAATCTACTAGACAAGAAAAATTGAAAATTGCAGTAAGTATTAATGATGGTTTCATTGCAGGACCAATACTCAAGTCTTGGGAAGACCTAGTTTACCACTCTGTAGCATAGATTTGAAGGTAAATTCATTGCAAATTCCCAAAAGTTTTGTTTCTTCAAAAATCAATTTGAATGACTTATGTTGTAAAAATCTTTCTGCAGGATGTTTTCAACTTTGATGAGTTTGTAGGAAAACTCACAGACGAAGAACAGCGAAAACTGATGAAATTACTTCCTCAAGTTGACTCTGTTGATCTTCCTGACAGGTTTTTAACTCAATGAAACTTCAGTATCTACAGATTTTTTTCAACGGCTTCTTCGAGTTCGAGTTCGAGTTCTTATAATTACCGTCTTCTCTTTTTGCCAGCCTCAGAAACATGTTTGAGAGTTCTCAATTCAAAGAGAACTTCTCATTGTTTCAGCAACTTTTGGCAGATGGTATCTTTGAGACATCTTCATATTCTTCATCTGGGTCAAAACTTGAAGACACTAAGACAGTTGCAAAGCTTGCTTTATCCGATCCCAAAAAATCGCATTTGTTGGAAAGCTATTACATGCTCAAGGTTTTTCGACATACACTCTTCTTGAAACGAATAGTTTATTTACTTTTGGCTTTTGTTCACTTAAAATCTTTGCTTCAGAAACAGAGAAAAGGGACTGAAGAATCTATTACTACAACATCAAGGGTCTCAAACCCGAATCCATCGAATAATAATAGTCTTCTAACCATTGAAAGACCCTGTGAAAGCTTAAACCAAAACTTCTCAGGTAAATCAAGATTCTTGAATCATCGCAATCCGTATACTTCATGCAATCAAGTATGTCTGTTTCTAATGATTTTGAATTATGCATTCTCCAGAGACAAGGGTTGTGATGAGGAGCCCTAAAGAAGTGGTGAAGATTAGATCAAACCACATCGAAACCGAAGAGATTTTAGAGAACAGCTCTTCTTTTAACCCAATGAGCTATAATGGTGGTTCTATGGTGTATGGCTATGAAGATAATGATATTTCTGATCACGATCTTCTTCTTGACGTCCCGTCGAATGGATCATTTCCTCAAGCAGAGCTTCTTCACATTATTTGAAAGAAGAGAAGGTTTCTCAAACTCATTTGGTGTTTCTCAGAACAAAGACTAATACCTTTTTAAGATCTCTCTCTCTATATATATATATATTGAAGAGAAAACTCTTTCTCTTTAGGCATTTCTGAGAAAATGTGGCCAGATGAGAATTTTCTGTATTAGAAATTTGCAATTTGCAGATATAAAAAGGAAGGAGTTTTATGTAAGGGCTGAATTTGCAGATATAATGATACACACGTCTTTTTTTGTGTTCTTTCTAAAAACTCAAAAAGAACAAGAAAGTTTCGTTTTTTTTTTCCTATCTTGGAAATTAATATTATACTTTCATTTTGTTTAGGATTAAAAAATTTTAATAGCAATTTGATACACATCAATTATACATATATTTTTTTGGGGAATTAAAGAAATATGCCAAATCTTATAGAAAGAAACTAAATGAATAGACCAAATATTTAAAACTAAAGAAATAGGCCAAATCTTAAAGGAAACTAAAATAGTAGGCCAAAAAATTTGTACTCTCATGTCAGTTTCCACTGTTCACATGAGAAGATAGTTCGAGTTTTCTTCACCAAGCAAAGTGTCTTCCATGAACCGTTCATATTCGGGTGATGAAACGTGAACATCATTTAATCATTCGTAATATCATATTCCAAAAATGCTTTGAGATTCTCTAGAAAAAAAAGACAGAGATTCATATATCGTCAATTCAAAGATATTTTGTCTAAACTGCTTTGTTGTGTTTTTGGTTTTAATACTACCAAGAACTTGAGGTATGATTTCTTATGGTGATTGTGAATTCTGGAAGTATCATTCATAGCGAGTTTGGTTGAATGTTAGATAAAGAGAATGCAAGTAATTTTATATGACTAATACATAACATTGTACTGTTATAACACCTTCAACGTTAAGAACCTTAATGAGTTTC